CCATCCCCCCTCCACTCCCCAGGCAGGGTAAGGCCCTCAAAAGGGGCTCCCCAAAGTCTACCACATCATCCTGGGCCAGGCCTAGGCCCTTCCCCATGTGTCCAGGTCGGTGGTGCACATCTTTAATCTCAGCACCTGGGAGGCAGAGGTAGGAGGACCCCTGTGAGTGAGGCCAGCCAGGTCAGCCAAGACTACATAGTAAGACCCTGACTCCAAAAAAATAAAACAACAACAACAAAAAAAACCAGTAACAACCCCCCCCACCCCCATGAAGAAGATATTTGGGATTGGAGAGATGGTTCAGTGTTTCGGAAATCTATTTTTTGTTTGTTTGATTTGCTTTTGAAACAGGGTTTCTCTGTGTAACAGCCCTGGCCTTAAACTCACTGAGCTCTGTCTGCTAAGTGCTGGGATTCAAGGCATGCACCACCTCACTTGGCAAGAGCACTTGTTCTTGAAGAGGCAACAAGATGGCATCCAGGTGGCAGCTCACAGTTGTCTTTTATTCAAGTTCCAGGGTATCCTATGTTCTGTTCTGGCATGCATTCAGGCAAAATACACATATACATTAAAGAAAAAAAAAGTAAATTTCAGATGTTTCTTCCTGAAGCCTATATCTCCATTTAATTGATTTATTTAAAGATTTTATTCACATGTCTCTGGGTGTATGCACATGTGGAGGCCAGAAATGGCATTGGATCTGGAACTGGGTTTGTGAGCAGTTAGTTGTAAGCTGCCTGCTGTGGCTGCTGGGGATCTACATTTGAGTCCTCTGGGAGTTTGGGAGAGCAGCAAGTGCTCTTAACCATGGAGCTATTGCTCCATCTCCTTAGGTATCTTTTAATTAATTGTTTTAAGATTTATTTAAATTTATTTATTTTTGGTTTTTCGAGACAGGGTTTCTCTGTGTTGTTTTGGAGGCTGTCCTGGAACTCTGTAGATCAGGCTGGCCTCGAGCTCACAGAGATCCGCCAGCCTCTGCCTCCCGAGTGCTGGGATTAAAGGTGTGTACCACTAATGCCCGGCCTTAAGATTTATTTTATATGTATGATTGTGTAGCATATGGATGCTTGGGAGTTATGGATGTTTGTGAGCCAATATATGGGTGCCTGAGAAAGAAATGATCTAAACTCCTTAGCCATCTCAACAGTTGTCTCTCCTCGTGGTGTCTTTTTTTTTTTGGCCAGGGTTTCATGCAGTCTATGATTGCCTCTAAATTGATTATACATTAAAGCTGAGGCTGACTTTGATCCTCCTGCCCTCGTCTCCTAAGTGTGCCACCAACTATTTATCTGTTTATTTGTGTGTGTGTGTACACATGTGTACATGGGTGCAACTCTTTACCTCGTTTATTTTAGCTTTTAAAATTTTGATCTTGTAGTTTGTGTGCTCATATGTGAGTGTGGTACATGCATGGAGGTCAGTAGTACACCTTGGATCTTGCATCACTGATTGGCTTGACTGGCTGAGCAGCAAGCTCTGGAGATCTGCCTGCCTGTCTGTTTCCCAAATGACAGGACCTGGAACTCTCATAGCCCACTCTGACTTCAAACATGGGATCTTCTTTCCTCAGCTTCCTAAACACTGGGATTATAGATTTGTGCCTCTGTGGCTTGCTCCCTGCAATGAAGAGTTTTGATCTACTGTTGGTAAACTGCAGAAGTAGACTCCTTAAATAGGGAGGGCCAACTACATTCTGTTGTATGCACAAATCACACTTTATGTTTCCATTTCATTAGTGGCCATTTGATTTTTTTTCCTTCTTTTTGACTATGGTGCACAATCCTGTGAACATGTATATACATTTTCTGTGTACATGAATGCTTTTCCTGGTGCTGAGGATGACATATGGGCTCTTGCAGATGACAGGCAAGTCCTTTACCACTGAACTATACCCCCAAGTCCTGTTGTGTATCTATTAGTGTTGATTAGATCTATGGGTAGAATTACTGGATCATGTGGCTGTTACTCTGAAGAAATCTTTTTATCTCTTAGTAAGTTTTTTATGTACATAAATTTTGGCCACATACATGCATCTTTATCATGTGAATGCCAGGTGCTCACAGAGGTCAGAAGAAGGTGTCAGATCCCCAGGAACTGAAATTAATGGATGTGGGTGCTGGGAACCAACCCTGGGTCCTCGGTCCTCTGTCCTCTGAGCCATCTCTCCAGCTTGGATTTCTAACCTCTTAACAGAGTATATTAAAGTTGCCATCCTACTTTTTTCCACCAGTACTTTTTATTTTGCAGGTGGCTTTGATTTGCATTTCCTTCATAACTCAGTGCATTTGTTTTTTGACAATGTGTCTGACAATACAATGTAATCCATAAGTAATTATAAAGTAACTGAGGTTTTACTGTTACCAGATGATAAATGTTATTATTAATAGTTTGAGCTTTGGTTGTATTTGCATCCTGTCTCTGCCATTTACTAAACAACTGTTACAACTAGGCATGTAGTAAAAAAGTATAAAAACATAATGTTTCATGAGAATCCAAGGGAGACCATTGTGCTTGACACATGGAAAATACTGAGCAAACATTGTTTACACTTATGACTTGAGTTGTTAAAGAAAAACAAAACTTGTTTTTTTTTTGTCCCCCCCCCCCCCCCCCCCCCCCCGGGGTTTCTCTGTGTAACCCTGGCTGTCCTAGAACTCGATCTGTAGACCAGAATGAACTCTCAAAAGTCTGCTTCCTTTCGCCTCCCCCCAAGTACTAGGGCTAAAGGCTTGTACCACCATATCCTGTGTACTTTTAGAATGTTTTCATTATGATGACTGTTCATGAGTGTGGGAAAATTACTCTAAAAGGCTATGTATGCTGTGAGCAGTTACGGTAATTTGTGCTTATTTAATCAACAGTGACTAGCTGGGTTTTCATCTATGTTTTTGTTTTTAATATTTGAAACATTTATTGTAGATGTGAGTGGGTGCTGTGTGCCACAGTGCTGATAGGGTCAGAGGGTAGGTAATACCCGGGGGTGTGTTCTCTGCCCTGAGTCCCAGGGATCATCAAATTCAAGTTGTCAGGTGTGGTAGTGGCAGATGCCTTTACCCACTGAGCCATGTTGCTGGCCCTGGGTGGGTTTTCTTTCTTTCTTCTTTTGGTTTTTCGAGATAGGGTTTCTCTGTAACTTTGGAGCCTGTCCTGGAACTCACTCTGTAGACCAGGCTAGCCCCGAAATCACAGAGATCTGCCTATCTCTGCCTCATGAATGCTGGGATTAAAGGTGAGTGCCACCACTGCCTGGCCATTTTGTTTTTCAGAATTCTAGTTGGAGGATAATGCTTGGAAGATTTTTTTTCCTTTTTTTATTCCTACTGATTCCCCATGTTTTGTCTGTCTAAAGTGTCAACTGAAGAAAAAGTCTACACCACTGAAATATGAAGTTGGAGATCTCATTTGGGCAAAATTCAAGAGACGCCCATGGTGGCCCTGCAGGATTTGTGCTGATCCATTGATTAATACACACTCAAAAATGAAAGGTAACAAATAACTTACAGGTGATTATTTGTGATAAAACACAATGTGGAATCATAAGTTTGTAGTTGCTTTTCGTGTAATTCGGGATTCTTGTTATTTTAGCAGCAAGTAATCCATTGTTTTCTTTGAAAATTTTATGAATTGTTAACAAATTTCCTCTTTAGGTTTTTTTTTTTTGTCTACTCTGAGATTTAACAGGTGTTAGATTAGGCATGTTGGTACTTGCCTGTAATCTGTAGTCTCATGGTTTGAAAGATTGAGGCAGCTATCATTCATTTATTTAAGGACAGCTACATAGTGAGGCTATGTTTTAAATAAAAATTCTCAGATATTCCATATGTATAGAATGGTTAGATGTTTTGGTGCTATTGGGGACTTACCCTTGGCCCTTTCACGTGCTAGACATACACAGTAAGCCTTGGAAGACTACATTAGAGTTAATTAGGGGGAGTGATTGTTCTAGGAATAGGAAGTAGCATGTATTTTCCTCCTAAGAGGGAGAAGGGACCAAATCACTAATTACCTGTACATTCAAAAAATTCTGAGTAATGTTCTAGGATGACTGTGCTACCACTGACAAGCATTGACGAGGGTGGAGACAGGGTTCTCGGGGGCTTTGAAGCCTGTCCTCCAACTGTCTCTCTAGACCAGGCTGGCCTCAAACTCACAGAGAAACTCACCTATCTCTGCCTCCCTAGTGCTGGGATTAAAGGCGTGTACCACCATTGCCCGGCTCTGGTGGTGGTTTTAAAAAGTTCACTCTAAGTATTCTGTTGGCGTGGCACAGGAAGCACCTCTATTGGTTTAGAAATGTTAAAATTAATTCTTTTCCGCCAGGTAATTAAAGCTGTAAGAGTTTATCTATGTGTTTGATTACAAAAACTAATAAAATATTCTCTAAATAATTTTTATTTTTTATTATTATTATTATTATTTGTTTTTTGTCTTTATTTTTTTTGGTTTTTTTTTTTTTGAGACAAGGTTTCTCTGTGGCTTTGGAGCCTATCCTGGCACTCGCTCTGTAGCCCAGGCTGGCCCCGACCTCACAGAGACCCGCCTGCCTCTGCCTCCCGAGTGCTGGGATTAAAGGCGTGCACCACCAACACCCGGCCTTGTTTGTTTTTGAGACAGGGTTTCTCTGTGCTTTGGATGCTGTCCTGGAACTAGCTCTTGTAGACCAGGCTGGTCTAGAACTCACAGAGATCCTCCTGCCTCTGCCTCCCGAGTGCAGGGATCAAAGTGCAGCACCACCACCTGGCTAAATAATTTTTAAAAAATTCACTCTTGAGGCCAGTAGTAGCTCAGGTTTGTAGAGTTCTTGCCTATCGTGAATAAAACCCTCAGTATGCTCCTCAGCACTCAGTAAATGGCACAAATCTGTAATTGGGGTACGAGGTGGGATCAGAAGTTCAAGGCCATCCCTGATTACAAAGTTTGAGGACAGTCTGGGCTATCTGAGATCCTACCTCAAACAAAACAAAAAGCTGTGATCAGAACCAAGAGCAAGCATGTTTACTGGCAGAAAGATACCATGGGTAAGAATTAGTGGAGGGAGTATAAGAAGTTAAAATCTTTAAAATCATACTTTCTAGCCGGGCGGTGGGTTAGCCCATGCCTTTAGTCCCTGAGTTTGGGGGCCAGATTGGTCTATAAAGTAAGTTCCAGGACGGACAGGACTGTTAAACAGAGAAACTGTCTCAACACCCCCCATCCCCCAAAATAAAACAAAACATGCTTTCTGGGAGCTCCACTGAGTTGTAGAGAAATGAGTTTATGACTAATTAGTTTGTGTTTCTTTCTCTAGTTTTCCCTCTTTAAATTTTTTTCAGTTTTATTTTCTTATTTTTGTAGTTTGTAGTGTTGTTTCTCTGTGTAGCTTTTTTCCGAGACCAGAGAAACCCTGTTTCGGGAAAAAAAAAAAAAAAAAAAAAAAAAAAACCTGACTGAACATTTGTAGTAGTGACCCCCTTTTTCTTGAGTGTGCTTACTGTTTATTTCTTATGTGGTGGCCATTGTCAGGGAGCCCACGAGAGATGCTGCAGCATTTAATTTTAAAAATTAGGGCTGGAGAGATGGTTCAGCAGGTTAAGAGCACTGACTGCTCTTCCAGAGGACCCAGATTCAATTCCCAGCACCCACATGGCAGCTCACACTGTCTATAACTCCAGTCCCAGGGGACCTTACATCCATGGAAAAAGACCAATGTACATAAAATTAAAATAAATAAATTTTAAAAAATTGTTTGTGTGTTCATGTAGACACATGTATTAGCAACACAACACGCCATGGGGCATGTGTGAAGGTCAGAGCACTTGGAGGTGTCTTGTCTCTCTCTCCTCACTGTTTCTTAGTGATTGAACTCAGGTGGCCAGGCTTGGCCACAGGTGCCTTCACGTGCTTGAGCCATCTCTTCAGCCCCTGTTGATAGTAGTGCTGTTGTTTCTTCCAGCTTGGTCTTTGAGAAATTTCAAACCTGCAGAAATGAACAATTGTATACATTTAGATTTCAAACCTGCAGAAGTGAACAACTGTATACATTTAGATTTAGCAGTTACAGTTGGGCCAATTCTTAGTGGATATGAATATTAGAATTATAGTGTTGTATAGTGCAGCATATAAAAGTGACGTGATTTTTCTTTTTTCTTCCCTTAGATTAAGTATTTCAGATGATGTTAGAAGACACAAATTTTGGGGACTGGGTATAGAAAGTAAAGTGCTTTCCTCTCAAAGCCTCAGTACCCATTGAAAAGTCCAGGCACTATGGTAACATCTGTCACCAGCTCTGGTGGGGCCCAGAGGGTGAGAAAGGCAGAGTTCTGCAACTAGAATTTCAGATGGCTGTTGGGCTTGTGAAATAGGTGCTGGGAATTGCACTTGGGTCCCCTGCAGGAGCGGTTTGTGCTCTTACGGCAGTAGGTCTGGCTGTTTTACTGATGTTGAGTACTCGTCCTTTTGAAGTAATGACGCTTTCTTTTATCCTTATGTAGTTGCCAATAGGAGGCCCTATCGAGAATACTACGTGGAGGCTTTTGGAGATCCTTCTGAAAAAGCCTGGGTGGCTGGAAAAGCAATCGTCATGTTTGAAGGGAGGCATCAATTTGAAGAACTACCTGTCCTTAGGAAAAGAGGGAAACAGAAAGAGAAAGGATATAGGCATAAGGTAAAGACAATCTGTAAAGAAAAGAACTTCTCAAAAAACTATCTTCTTGTGGGTTCACTTCCAGAAAAAGTGGAAGATACATCAGGATAGATCTGAAATACACTGTTACCCTGGTTACCAGGGTATCTGAAGAAATAAAGTCAAATATTTTACAGGGATTAGCTGTGGCTAGTTTTCATACAACTATGTGCTGAGTTTTGAGAAGTGCCTACCTCTGACCTGCCAGAGAGACGTGAATACTACAGTCTTCTTTGGCTATACTTTATGCAAGAGGAAGTGGTTATTAGAATGAGGCCTTAGGATCTCAGTCATTTGAAGAGCTCTTGCCTCCTAAGCAGTTTTAATCTTTAGGACTGAACAGGACAATACAATGAAAACAAAATACTCTACTTGCCCTATTTATTGCTAATTATTTTTCTTAAAAATAAGAAATGGCGTTCTCTCTGTCTCTCTGTCTCTTGTCTGTCTGTCTGTCTCTCTCTCATTTTGCTCCTCACCTTAGGCTATTCTTGAACTCTGGCTTTCCTGCCTCAGTGTCCCAGATGCTGGAATTATAGCAGTACTCCCATGACATCCAACTTTGATAAGTCATTTTAGTAGTTTTATTCTTTGCTGGCCTTTACTTTTGTAGTTTCATACCTAGTTATATTTTAATCATGAGCATTTCTGTTTGTGTGTATGTGTGGGTTTTGTTTCTGTTTGTTTGTTTCTTTGCTTTTAGATGGGGTCTCACTATTGTCCAGGTAGGCCTCAGAACTTGCCACAGTCTTCAAGAATGCTTAGAACACAGGCATGTACCACCACACTAGGTTTATGAACTTTTGTTGCTTTTTAATTAATTCTTTTCGTTTTTTGTTTTGTTTTTGAAACAGGGTCTCTATGTAGCCCTGTCTGTCCTGAAATTTTTGCTAAGTCAATAAATATATGGACCAGGTTGGCTTTGTGCTCAGAGAAATATCTGCCTCTGCCTTAGAGTGCTGGTATTAAAGGTGGGCCACCGCTGAGCTCACTCAAAAAGGTAGTAGTTTTTCTTTGTTGATGTGGATGACCTTGAACTCCTCATCCTTCTACCTCTACCTCCCAAGTGCTGGGATTGCAGGAATGTACCATCACTCTTAATGTGTAAGGTTCTGGGAATTGAACATTTGTATTTTTTGAACTTGATGCTTTAGTTTACTCATCAGAGACAGAGGATCATGGCTATTTGAGGCCAGCCTGGTCTACATAGTAAATTCTAAGCTCTAGCATATGTAACTGCTTTTATACTTTTTTTTCCAGAATCATAATTTGGATAGTTAGAATTAGTAATAAACTTGAACTGCAATTTTTAACAAGTGCTTGGGATTTGTCTTCATCTCTTAATTTTTATTTGTTTGTTTATTTTGAGGCAGGATTTCTTTGTGTAGGTCTGGCTGTCCTGGAACTTGCTCTTGTAGACCAAGCTGGCCTTGAACTCACAGAAATCTGCCTGCCTCTGCCTCCTGAGTTCTGGGATTAAAGGTGTGCACCACCACTGCCTGGTTGTCTTCATTTAAGATGGTATAACAGCCTGTACTTTGTAACTATTGTAATGTTTAGAACTATAAAATACTTAATATATCATAAGTTTATCTTTTCACAGTACAAGTGGGTGCAGTCATTAGGATGGGAGACTTTTAACTCTTTCTTGACACAGTTCTCCCTGCATGGGATTGGGTGGAGGCATCAGATTTTGTGTCAGGTTTTAGCTGTGTAGATAGATGTGTTAGCTCTCTTTGGAAGAACTCACTAGGATTTACTTCGATCAGTAACATTAGCACAGATATATTTGTGATCGTGTCTGAAGTTGACTAAATGGTCAGTGTAGTACCTTCCATACTTACAGAAGGCTACCTGTCTAGTGACCTTATGTTTTGTATGTGTTGGAGAACATTCCAGTTATTAATATATTTGTGAATAGTAACTGGTTAGGTAGAACCTTGCCAAATAACATCACAGAGATCCAAGTATGGAAGGGTCTGGAAAAGTAGGTGTGTCTCAGAGTCTGAATACCCTCATCCATAAAGAACTTAGAGATGACCACATGCATTTTTTGTACTTGATTTGTTTTTGTATCTCAGCACTAAGTAATTATGTCCCAAAGATAACTTGGTCATCTTTATCTTTATCCAAGTCATGCATAGCCCATACAGAAGAGACTTGGTTATGAAATGCCCTGATAATAGCTAGAAAGCTTCAGTTTCAGGTCCTGTAGGGGCACTTGACCCACTCATTCCTCTTGTCTTGTTTTTCCATGCTTCTCTCCTTTGAAGCTTCTTTCTTTTTGTGAAGCTGAGCATGTGTGTGCTTGTGCCCTTTCTTATTTCAGGTAGAAAATACTATTATATTCTAAGGTGTAAATAGAGAGGGTAAGTCTTTAGCAATCTGTTGTTCCTATTTTTAGTTGAAGTTTATAGTCTACTTGGTTCTGCTAATAAATAACGAAAGAGTGTTGATTTTTTTTTATGAGACTAGTTCTTCTAGTTATAGTAGGTTATTTATTTATTTATTTTTGGTTTTCCAAGACAGCGTTTTTCTGTGTAACAGCCCTGGCTGTCCTAGAACTCACTCTGTAAGCCAGGCTGGCTTTGAACTAAGGGATCCATTTCCCTCTGCCTCCCAAGTGGTGGAATTAAAGGTGCCTGTCATTACCACCCAGCTTCAGAGAGTTACCTTCAGTAAGAACAGCAAGATTAGCCAGGTGCACTTGGGGAGGCAGAGGCTGGGGGATATGTGAATTTGAAGCCAATCTGGTTTACATAGTGAATTCTAGGGCAGCCATAGCTGCATAGTGAAACTGTCTTAAAAAAAACAAAAACAAACAAACAAACCTGAACCACGAGATTTTAGATCACTTCTGATTTGAGATGCTTATTATCTCCCTGTTTTTCATTTTTTTTGAATAAATATTATTTTCCTTTTAATTTAAGGTTCCTCAGAAAATTTTGAGTAAATGGGAAGCAAGTGTTGGTCTTGCTGAGCAATATGATGTTCCCAAAGGATCTAAGAAGCAGAAATGTGTCACCAGTTCAATCAAGTTGGACAGTGAGGAAGAGATGCTTTTTGAGGACTGTACAAATGATCCAGAATCAGAGCAGGACCTGCTGCTCAATGGCTGTCTGAAGTCTCTGGCTTTTGATTCTGAGCACTCTGCAGATGAGAAGGAAAAGCCCTGTGACAAGCCTCGAGCTAGAAAGAGCTCTGATAGTATAAAAAGGACTAGTGTGAAGAAGGGCCTCCTGCCATTTGAAGCACACAAAGAGGAACAGAGGGGGAGAATTCCAGAGAACCTTGACCTAGACTTTATTTCTGGGAGTGTATCTGATAAACAAGCTTCTAATGAACTTTCCAGGATAGCAAACAGCCTCACAGGGTCTAAAACTGCACCAGGAGGTTTCCTCTTTTCTTCATGTACACAGAGCACCGCTAAGGCAGATTTTGAGATTTCAAATTGCGATTCTTTATCAGGTTTGTCTGAGAGTGCTTTGAGCTCTAAACATTCTGTAGAGAAAACAAAACTCCAGCCAGGCTTGGTGTGTGGCTCCAAAGTACAGCCCTGCTATATTGGAGCTGGTGACGAGGGAAAGAGAAGTGATTCTGTTAGTGTGTGTACCACTTCTGATGATGGGAGCAGTGATCTGGATCCTATAGAACGCAACTCAGAATTTGATAGCAGTGTCCTTGAAATTACAGATGCTTTTGATAGGACAGAGAGTGCTTTATCTATGCACAAAAACGAAACAAAGTATTCTAGATATCTTGCCACAAACAGAGTAAAAGAAAAACAGAAGTCCCTCATCACTAATTCACATACAGACCACTTAGTGGATTCTACCAAGACAGTGGAGCCTGGAACTGCTGAAATGTCTCAGGTTAATCTTTCTGATCTTAAAGTCTGTACTCCTGTGCCCAAACCCCAACCAGAATTTAGAAATGACAGTCTCACTCCAAAATTCAGTGCAGCACCAAGCATTTGTAGTGAAAACTCATTGACAAAGGGTGGGGCTGCAAATCAAACTCTGTTACCTTTGAAAAGCAGACAGCCCAAGTTCCGAAGTATAAAATGCAAGCATAAAGAAAACCCAGCTGATGCAGAACCCTCAGCTACAAATGAGGACCTCAGCTTGAAATGCTGTTCTTCTGCTGATACCAAAGGCTCTCCTTTGGCCAGCATATCCAAAAGTGGAAAAGCAGAGGGCCTAAAACTACTGAACAATGTGCATGAGAAAAGCAGAGATTCGAGTGACATAGAGACAGCGGTGGTGAAGCATGTTCTCTCGGAACTGAAGGAGCTCTCATACAGATCACTAAGTGAGGATGCCAGTGACTCCGCAACATCAAAGGCATCGAAGCCATTACTGTTTTCTTCTGCTGCTAGTCAGCATCATATACCTATAGAACCAGATTACAAATTTAGTACACTGCTAATGATGCTGAAAGACATGCATGATAGTAAGACAAAGGAGCAAAGGTTGATGACTGCTCAAAGTCTGGCGTCCTACCGAACCCCAGATCGTGGGGACTGCTCTACTGGTAACCCTGTAGGGACATCAAAGGGTTTGGTGTTAGGAGGCTCCACACACAATTCTGAAAAAACTGGAGATGGCACTCAAGATGCAGTCCGGCTGAGTTCTAGTGGGGGTGACTCTTCATTGTCTGGAGAACTGTCTTCCCTGTCTGGCTTAGCTTCTGACAAAAGAGACTCTGCTTGTGGTAAAAGTCGCTTAAACTGTGTTCCAAGGCGCAACTGTGGCCGGGCAAGGCCATCATCCAAATTGAGAGAAGCAGTTTCAGCCCAGATGGCAAATCCCCCGGTAAACCCAAAAGCCTTAAAGACTGAGCGGAAAAGAAAGTTGAACCGACTTCCTGCTGTGACCATTGGAGCTAACCGGTTGGGAGACAAGGCAAGTGGAGGTTCAGTGAATGGCCCATCAAGGGGTGGGGCTGAAGACCCTGGTAAAGAAGAGCCTCTTCAGCTAATGGGCCATTTAAGAACCACAGACACCCATTTTTCTGATGCACATTTTGATAGCAAGATTAAACAACCTGACCCTGATAAAGTTCTGGAAAAAGAGCCTTCTTTTGAGAACAGAAAAGGTCCAGAGCTGGGCTCTGAAATGAACAGTGAGAATGATGAGCCCCATGGTGTCAATCAAGTGGTGCCTAAAAAGCGGTGGCAGCGATTAAACCAAAGGCGCCCTAAGCCTGGCAAACGCACTAGCAGATTTAGGGAGAAAGAAAACTCGGAGGGTGCCTTTGCTGCATTGCTTCCTGTTGAGCCTGTGCAGAAGGGGCGGGATGATTTCTTAGAACAAAGAGCTCCTCCTACAAGCATCCTGGAGGACTCAGCCGCAGACCCCAATCATGGCTGCCACTCGGACTCCGTTGGGCCAAGGCTGAGCGTTTGTGATAAACCCAGTGCTAGCATGGTGGGTGATGTGGAAAAGGAGACAGGAATTCCCAGTTTGACGCCACAGACCAAGCTCCCAGAGCCAGGTAAGGGTGCGGCCGGGGGAAAGTGATGAGAGAATTTGTTGATAATGTTGCTTTTGTGACAGAGTTGCTCTTCAGAAGTCCTGGGTCTGTCTGTTGTAACAGAAAAATGTCTTACAAAATTGGAGGGCAGAGTTATCTCTCGAATAAGAAACAATTTTATTTAGAAGGCTGAAACTTAAAGCTGGGGTTTCTGTATTTTCAGACTTTCTTGTTTTGTTTTGCTACTATCAGGGATTGAATTTAAATTTAAGGCCTTATGCATGCTAGTTAGTGTTCTACTACTGAGTTGCATGCCACATTGTTTTTTTTGTTTTGTTTTTGTTTGTTTGTTTGTTTTGTTTTTCGAGACAGGATTTCTCTGTGTAGCTTTGGAGCCTATCCTGGCACACGCTCTGCAGACCAGGCTGGCCTCAAACTCACAGAGGTCCGCCTGCCTCTGCCTCCCAAGTGCTGGGTGGTTCATTTTTTTTTTTTTTAATCAGAAGCTTTTTCCTTTGTTTTCCGAAGTTCCAACCATGGGTTTCCTGGACTTTGCTGTTTTTAAATTTTATTTATTTATTTAAAGTTTTAAAAAGATTTATTTTTATTTATTATGTATACACTGTTCTGCCTGCATGCCAGAAGAGGGCACCAGGCCTCATTATAGATGGTTGTAAGCCACCATGTGGTCGCTGGGAATTGAACTCAGGACCTCTGCTAGAGCACCAGTGCTGTTAACCTCTGAGTCATCTCTCCTGCCCCCTTATTTATTTACTTATTGTGGTTTTTTTTGTTTTTTGTTTTTTTTTTTTTTTTTTTGAGACAGGGTTTCTCTGTATTGCTTTGGAGCCTGTTCTAGAACTCAATCTGTAGACCAGGCTGGCCTCGAACTCACAGAGATCCTCCTGCTTCTGCCTCCCAAGTGCTGGGATTAAAGGCTTGCGCCACCAATGCCCGGCCCAGCTCTTAAATTGTGTGTGTGTGTGTGTGTGTGTTGAGAAAGAGAATGAGAATATTGCTGAGTCATCTCTCCAGCCCTATTAGAAATTTGTTTTGTTTTGCTTTTTATTTTATGTGTATAGGTTTTGCTTGCAAGTATGGTGCTCGCCAAGGTTAGAAGAGGGTGTTAGGTCCCCTGGAACTGGAGTTAGGCGGTTAAAAGCTGTCATGGGGGTGCTTGGGTCCTCTAGAAAGAACAGCCAGTGCTTATAACAGCTGAGCCATCTCTCCAGCCGTGGGAAGTTTTTGATTATTCAATCTTATTCAGTATGTCTGTTTAGATGTTTTCCCTTTGTTTTTCAGTTTCTCTGTTTATCTTTGGCTGTCCTAGAGCTAGCTCTGTACACCAGGCTGCCTCTGCCTCCCAAGTGCTGGAATCAAAGGCATAATCTTTTTTTTTTAATGATTCATTTCATTCAATTCTTGTTGGATTAACTGTTTCAAGGAATTTATTCAGTTCCTCTGAATTGTACAGTTTGTTGATATATAGTTCTTAATGATTTCAGTTGTACTGTCTCTTTAAGTCCTTTTTTTCCTTAATGTTGTGAAGAGTGTACACTAATTTTTTTTTTTTTTAAACTCGGGCTTGAGGACTGGAGGGATGGCTCAGCAGTAAGGGTGTATACTGTTCTTGCAGAGGACCTGAGTTAGAATCCCAGCCAACGCACATGTGGAGTGGGTTATCACTGCCTGGTACTTCAGCTCCAGGGACTGTAAAGCTTTGTTCCGGCTGCTGTAGGCATTTGCACTCACATGCACAGAACTTATGTGCTCCGCCTCATTAATTCAAGTAAAAATTTGAATATATGTATATAACAACAGTTAGTGAAAAAAGAGGCTGAGGGAAATGATGTAATGATAATCTCAAAAAGTAAATAATTTTTAAAAATTGAATAAAATTTTCTAAACATTTCCACTTGGTACTTAAATTTTATATATATATATACATACATACACACACATTAGGGATGTAGCCTAAGGCCTTTCTATATCCTTGGCAAACTTTATTAGCTGGTGGATATTCCTAGCTTCTTCTGATTTTTGTTGTTGTATATTGTATTCTCTACACTCAGTTGTATTTATTTTTGGTGTACTTTTCTTCTAAATTTGGATGAAAATTTTGCATATTTTTCATGTCATAGGTTGTCCTGAAACTTTCTATGCTGGTCTTCAACTTGTAGATAGATATTCCTTCCTGCCTCTACTTTCTCAGTACTGGGAATATTGAAGGTGTATATCACTTAAGCTTAGTCTGTGCCCGTGCCCACCCCACCCAACCACACCGGCTTAAAGAATGAGATTGAATAGTATGTCAGTTAATTGCTGAGTCATCTCTCCAGCCCCCAGAGCCTAACTTTATTATTTTTTTTTTATTTTTTTTTTAAATTGTAGTGACTTTAAAATTTTATTTATTATGTATACAGTTATCTGCATGCATGCTTGCACACCAGAAGAGGGCACCAGATCTCATTACAGATGATTGTGAGCCACCATGTGGTTGCTGGGAATTGAACTCAGGACCTCTGGAAGATCAGTCAGTGCTCTTAACCACTGAGCCATCTCTCCAGCCTGATTGTTTAAAGATTTTATTTATTTATTTATTTATTATGTATACAACATTCTGCTTCCATGTATATCTGCACACCAGAACAGGGCACCAGATCTCATTACAGATGGTTGTGATCCACCATGTGGTTGCTGGGAACTGAACTCAGGACTTCTGGAAGAGCAGTCGGTGCTCTTAACCTCTGAGCCATCTCTCCAGCCCCGAGCCTGACTTTAAAACAAACAAAAACCATAGGTAGTTAATAATATAATTATCCTATTTAGTACCACTTTTGCTGAACATCATGTTTCAGTTTATAATATTTTCACTTGTCTCAACATATTTTTAATTTCCCTTACAATTTCTTCCTCTGGTAATTGTTTGACCTGTTGGTCTTTCAGTACGTAGATTTATTACCATGTGTGTACGTTTTTCTGGTTTTGTTCTGTCACAAATTTCTGCTTTCTTGCCATGGTGGCTGGTAATGACAGCATGTTTTCAGTCTTCATAAATTTCTTACAACATAATTTGTGAACATGATGTATTTGGGGGAGTGTTCTGTGTGTTTAAGAAGAATGTAGATTCTTGTGGTATTCAGTGGGATTTGGGGTGTACATGTGTTCAGTCTAATAACTTGCAGTGTTCAAGTCTAATTATCATCTTTTGATTTTGGTTGGTTGTCCTATTTTATTTATTTGTGTGAGGCGGCCCCAGCATATGTGAGGAAGCCCAAGGACAGTGTATTCAAGTTGATTCTTGCCTTCTATCATGTCAGTTACCTTTATCCACTGAGGCATCTCTTACCACCCCACCCCCACCCCTTTTGAGACATAGTCTCATTCTGTTCCTCAGCATGACTTGGGACTTGCTTCCCTCACAGCCTAGACTGGTTTCCACCAGTTTCAGACACAGGGTTAGGGTTGATTATAGGTGTGAACCACCTGGCTTGTTTGTTGATACGGGGTCTAATGCTGTAGTCATGTTGACCTGAAATTCAGTATGTAACCCAGGCTGGTCTTTAAGTCCAGGTGATCTTAGTGTCTGAGCTTCCCATGTGCCGGGATTATGGAGTGAGCCACTGTGCCTTATTGTCTTCTCCATTGTTAAAAGGGAAGTTGCTGTATCTAATTGTGATCTGTTTCTTCGGTTTGGCCAATGCTTGTTTCTTGTATTTGAGCACTGAGATGGTAGCTTCCTGTGTTGTACTGCAGTGTCATTCTTTTTCTTGTGGCAGTTTTTGACAAAGCATAGTTTGTTTGATACCAGTGTTGTGGTCTCTGCTATCTTTTGTTTACTCTGTGCATTGACTTACAGATATGATTGTTTTTATTTTACTTTACTTATTGAGAACTTGGGTTGTCTCCTGGGTGCCCTGGAACTCCCTGTGTAGACCAGGCTGGCCTTGATGGTGTAGAGATCCTCCTGTCTCTACTTTACTCAGCAAGGAAGCACACGTGCTGCTGTAGTTATTTTTCATATTTTTGTCTGCTAAATTCTTTACCAAAATTATGCACCATATTTATAACCTTATAGTATTCAGTATATAAATACTGTGTTTAATTCTGCTTTCAGGTGAACTACCTCAACTTCTTTGTCTGTCTGAAAAGTCTGTTTCTCCCTCAGTTTTGTTTGTTTTTTTGAAGACAGGGTTTCTCTATGTAGACCAGGTTGGCCTGGAACTCACAGAGATCCTCCTGCCTCTGCCTCCTGAATGCTGGAATTAAAGGCATGCGCCACCACTGCCCAGCTTCTCAAGTTTTGAAGCGAAGTTTTGCTGGATATAATATTAGCTTGCAGTTTTTCTCTTTCAGCACTTTGAATGTATTTTAGTTCCTTCTGATATGTAGGATTTAAGAAGTCAGGAAAATATGAGTTCCCTTATGTAATGAGTTGCTTTTCTTGGTGGCTTTAATATTATCTATGTTCTTTGATTTTCAATAATTGTAATGTCTCACAGTGTGGGCTTTTATTCCTTGCATTTCTGCCTGTCATACTCAGGACCTTTATAGGTACTAGGTACTTCCCAGCCTTTTTTGGAGTCCTTTGAACTTCATTTCTTCCTTAGATTTGGAAAATCTTTTCAAGCAAGCTTTTGGCCCTTTTTTTCTTGAAATATTATATAGTCTGTCGGTGCAGTTGGTGGTTTCTTGTCTTTATATTCTTCATACTTTTCCCCCCTATTCCTTTGATTGCATAGTTTTTAATTACCTAGCAATGGCTGTAAACTCGACAAGACCTAAAATCACCTGGGAGTTGGGCTTCTGGACATGCCTGTGAGGAATTTTCTTGATTACTTTAATTAGGGTGGGAGGGTTCTGGGACTCGGGCGGTAACAGTGAATACCGCAAGCTCAGCCCTGTCTGTGTGTGTTCACCACCACTCTTTGTCTGTGTCTGCTTCAGCCCCTGCTGCCTTGAACTGTAAGCTGAAGTATTTTGAAGCTCTTTCTCCCTTAAATATTTGTTGTTGTGTTTTC